TTTATATTTAATATACACATAATTTATATGTATATATATACATACGTACATGTATACATAATGTATATACATAGTATATATTTATAATATATATACTTAATATATATTATATATTCAACATATAATATATATACATTATATATACACACATAATTTATATACATTTATACATATACACATAATATATATTTAATATATAATATGTAATCTATTCAATATGTAATATATGTGCATATTATATATACACAATATATACACATTATATATAATATATAAATAAATACATATATAATATATATTATATATAATATATTAAAGCAAAGACCAGAAGGATTTTAATAACCGTCTTCTATTGAGGCAGACAGTAATGAGAATAAACCCTGCCCTAAACACTAGACCACATGATTCAGGAAGTTCAAAAGGGACAAATAAACTAATATCATACCACATAGCTCCCTATCATATAGAACCTCCTTCTCACAGTAACATGGTGAAAATACTAGGACTTCAGTATCACAAATGCTGCCATTGACACTAACTAATTAGTCCCCAGTTGACCTTGTCAAAAATCCAGGGAGATAAAGCAAGGTACACACTATTACACCGATTTTACATCCAAGGAACCTGAAGGCACAAACACCTGCTGACTGTTCCAGCGAGTGACAGATCTACAGGACAAGTAGAGCCAAGAGTCTCCTGACCTCCCATCCACTGCTCTTTCAACCACCATGCTGTTTATTCCCCAGAGTACAGTAAAATCCAAGCACCAGAAGGGACAGGGGAAGCCACACTTTCTCAATCTGATGGGCCTTTAGAAACAGAAATTGAACTGAGGGAACCCCCATCATTAAATTCAGCTGTACCCACACCCACATCCTTTGGTCTCTCTTCTCAATTTCAGCTCAGATGCTTCTATCTTTTCTTTCTTTTTCTAGAGACACATTTGGAGATGAAACCATTTATAACTGCCCATCCACAGACAGTTTGTGGCAGCATAATTGACAATGAGTCTGCTGCAAAAAAATAAAAATGCTGTTTTAATAACCTTGGCCTAAAATACATTCTGTTGTATGCCTCAAAGGGTTTCAATAAAAAGTCAACCTGTAGAGACATATTTTCTTGGCTTAAACAACAATCCAAAGCATATAAATGTAGTCCAACTATAATGACATATTTATAGGCCAATAAAGCTTACTCTGCAGCTTTCATACTTCACTTAAAGGAACTCTGTAAGAAGCAGTGTTATATAAAATAATTTGATTTTTTTCAAACTATAGCCCAAGGAATAAAAAATGCAAGTTTGCTATGTTTAACTGATAGTGTTTATATTCCTTAGTTGCTAAAAATTTCATAAAATGAAATAATTCTTCATTTGACTACTTCCAACTGCCATACCAAATATGGGTATCAAGTCCACTTTATTACAAAAGCTAAGTACTGTAATTCTAAAGACAAAAATAAATAACTAGAAGCTTGTGTAGTGAATGATTTAATCAACCCAATTCTTCTGGAAAAACAGGTTCCTGTGTTCGTTATGCTTATGAATAATACATTCCTTAACCCTTCTATTTTAACACAGTTCTTTCTTCTTTTTTTTCTTTTTCTATAAACTTCAGTATGAAACTGACAGAAGGTAAAACATCTCACTGAGTAAAGTCATAATTTGAATTGGTTTCATACTGAACTTTCTTTCTTTGAAAAGGACAAAGAGGAGGGAAGGGGACGAAGGCGCTGCAACACATCTCAGGAGTGTTTTTGAAGATTGTTGTCTTTCCCACTACCTAGATGTGTCATGTTATCACCAGCCATTTAGAATCTTAAACGAAAACTGCAGAGATTTTGTAAAAAGCAAACATGATATCCGCAAATATTGTCCTTAAAGGGGAAGGGGATAAAAAAAAATAAGAACTGTGGTTTGAATCAGAGCAGTTATTGGAAGCTGCCATTTGGGGCAGAGTTTCTCTTTGCGGAGTATTAATTTGTTGGCAGACACACATTTGTGAGAACATTCTTGTTTTTTTTACTATTCAGAGAGGGACAGGAAGTGACACAAACCGGGATTAAAGGGAGCTTATTCTACCTAAACGTTGAGCAAGAAGAGTTCCTTAATTAGCTTTTAGATGGTAGAATCCCTTCTTTAAGAGTCAACGTAATTAGTATGTTGTTATTGATGTTTTAACGTGATGAAATACTTCAGTTAAAAAAATAACGTACTGGAGTTTTATTTTAGCCACAGAAAGGTGAGATCTTTCCATTCTTTGCTTACTTCCACCAGAAAAAAAAAGGGGGGGTCTTAAGTAATCTCAGAGTTCATCTTCTTTCTTTGGTAAGAACAATGAGGAGTTGGAAGTGTTCTACAGAAGGAAAAACCTAATAAGTGTGTGAACTTCCATTAACAATGTGGTATTGGAAGTGGTTTCAGTGTGGCCAAGAGAAAGAGAGATAAGAAAACCACTGTGCAGAAAGAAAAGTACAGACAACAAATATTTTGATGTTGCAGACAGAGAAAGGAAGAGGTTGAAGAGAAAGTTGCTGGGACAGGAATGCGTACAGCAAATGACACCCCCTATCTCCCCAATATAAATCCTAACAATGTAGACTTGTAAACCTTAGATCAGGCAGATAATGGAAACTCATTACATTAAGGAAAGTTTTTGTTTCTCTTTCCACATTATTACAACACAGTGTGCATTCCAATTACAAAAGCTATTTGTCTCAAATTCCCCACAGTTCATACCAACTGAGTAGAATTTCAAGGCCCCAAATTCTATCCTTAAAGGGGTATTTTACATTAAAAAACAAAGAAAGGAAAAGTACATGGTGTTTCTTGTTCACCAGAGGAGAGCCTCCCAATCAAATCTCCTGTTGATTATTTTCCCTTCTTCAGCACTAATTGTAGTGCTGTTCCCAAATGAGACCAAAAAAAAAAAAAAAAAAAAAAAATTAGAATCACCTAGAAAGTCTTTTATCAGTACACATTCCTTGGACTTGTCTCAATCTCACTGAATGAAGAATTTGGGGAAGCTGGACTTAGCAATCAGTATTATTTTCAAAATTCCCCTGGTGAGTCTAATGAACAGCTAGAGTTAAAACACCACTAAGTAATTTGAATATTCACCATAAATCAATTTCTTCTGAAATCAGTTATTAAAAAATAGGTCATGGACATTTTTTAGAATTCACTGAGATCAAACCCTCTAAATCTTTTGTTAGAATTAAGAGATTGAGTTTCTTTTCATATTCATTAATAAACTATCAATTTTAAACAGAAAACAGTTCCACTATAAATACTCTTGTTTATATGTGCAACAAGAAGCTTAACCATCTACACATCCTTTTGTCCCCTGTGGGTTTCCTGTTTAGTTTTTTATTAGTAACAGTATATTCCATAACTAAAAAAAAAAAAAAAATCAAACGAACAAAAGAAACATTTTAATGTTAAGGAAAACATAAGACAATAGCAATACAACTTAGATCATACATTAGGAAAAGAATACAACAGATGTATTATTATTCAGCATTAGCACAGGTCAGAAGACTGGTCATTTGTGTGTTCATAAAATTGGGACGTGTAACAGAATATATAGGAAGTTTAAGAAATCAATTTATTGGCTTTAAAATAAAACCACCAGATTAAATAATTTTCTCTAAATGTACACATGACAGGCCGCCATGTCCAAAATGTTACTGCCTGACATCTACCAAAAGATGACAGGAAACTGTTGGTCATTGATTCAAACTGCAAGAAAATATTAATATGAGTCCCAAAGCACAGTACAGCTCATCACAAATCAGAATCCCATGAAAGACAGTTACTGTTGTTATGTAGTCTCTTTATGCCAATTAAATAAATCGTCTAGGTTTGTCGTAATAGTTAAATCCTAGGTTAAAAAAAAACAGGAAGTTGTCACATTAAGGCATAAAATAGGGCTATGAAAATCAGCATTGTGCCAGAATGAAAGAAAAAGATGCCTTAATATGTTAAAAGTGAAGTTCCTCTTTGCCTAAAGAGGAAATAACGAGTCTAAATCAGAGGTCAACAACTTTGGTCTTGAGCAATGTTAGAAGAGTAAGTCACTGAATGCCAGAGGGACGTACAAACAAGAGGAAAAAAAAAAAAAAAACCAAAACACAAGAAAAGGGCACAAAAAGGCACTGGAGAAGAAACTGTTAAGAAAAAGCAATAGAATTAATTATGGAGCCCCTCGTATATACCAGTCATCACGGTCCGAAACCCTTTGTATCTTACATCTCAGTGACCCTGTAAAGTTCTCATATTTTTCACATAGGGAAACCGAGGCTAGGAGGTTAAACAAATTGCCCAGAAAACACGGCTAATAAGCAGGAGAGTCAGGATTCGAACACTAATTAGAATAACTACTCCAAATCTCAAGTTCTCCTTTAAACTCATAGTGGAATAAGGGAGGGAAGGAAAGAAAAAAATATGTTCATGGTGATCTCCGAATGCTAAAAGCCCAGGGAAACCTACGCCATGAGTCGCCAACCAGTGGCTTCCCCGCATTAACACTGCTCTCCTGCTCCACATGAAGTCACTCGCCTCTCTTCCTCACTTCATTTTCCACCCAACATGAAAACATGAAATTCTGACATGGTATTAATAGATGTCATACTATCTACTTAGAACAAATACTTAAACTCTTCACTAGTTCTATTTCAGGTGTCCTAGTTAAGTCTCACGCCTTGACACCACGTGGAAGCTGCCTGAGGTCACGTGTGCTATCCCCCAGGTTCTAGCACAGGGCTCCACGCCAAGAAGGCCCTGTGATCTGGCAGGTAACACCCATCCCTTACACACCCAGACTACGTGCCCATAAGGTGTTCCGAGGACCCTTTGAGGCTAAAGAAATTTTATATGTAAAATTATATATATGGCAGGATTTCCAGAAAAGTCTATGACCAAAAAAAAAAAAAAAAAAAAAAAAAAAGTAGGTTACTGTATCCGCCCACACGTTAGATTTGGAAGTACAAATTCTATTTACCAAGGTCAGCCTTTTCCTTGAGAACGTCTTTGAAGTTGAGCCCACTGTTGAGGGTTGACTGCCTGTACTTGAGCAGGGCTTCTTTCTGTCCATTCCTTCCCAAGGCCTCGGTTTTCACCGACCCAGCCTGGAGGCCACACCTCCACTTGGAGAAATCGGAATGTACCCACTTGACCAGGTCTTCAAGCTTCACGATTACCTTTTCGGAAACAGCAATGACTTCATCCTACAAGAGGTGGTCAGGGGAGAACAAAACTATTATTGGTGGTTGAGAGGCAAATGACAAATTTTCAACAAAGCCCATCTGAAATACCATTTGAGTGGTTTAGCCCTACACGAGCAAACAATGTGTTTTTTGGTGACAGAGTATCTTTAATAGCTTGCTTCATTTCAATGGGTTTTCACTGCTAGCTGTCTAGTTGAAAAATAATTTATAAGATATATTTTTTATATGATTAGAGCAGTAATTCTGATAGCTATTTTTAATGCTAACTGCCAAAGCCCATGCTGCCTATCTGACCACTCAGGTGAAAGCTAATTTTTAGGTGCAGTTAATTGCAAAAGTAAAAAGCGAGAACTAGGTGACTAATGGTTAGCCTGTCTCTATATAAATGGTCTAAGTAAATCTGGGATTCTTGGAACTCTGACTCACCCCCAAATTCCTATGTTTATGGTACATTTTCCCTTGGCTTATACACAAATATTGAATTTAACTTTTGTCCTAAAAATTAAATAAAACTGTGATGTAATCCCAAAAGAAATACTTCATAAATGTTATGTGCTTCCCACTGAAAGAAACTTACACATTCTCATGTTTCTTAAAAACTTTGTAAGTTGAGAAATGAACTGATTTTTTTTCTTTTAATACATATGGGGTAAGAAGAGAGAGGGTGAGTGAGGAGAAAGCCTTTGAATCTAAGAAAAGTAGTTGAAACTTAAGTTTCTCCTATGGATCATAAATTTGAATTTTAAGCATCCCTAATTGCTTCCAGGAAACAACCAACTTTTCTGACTCAGAATTAATCTAGCAAGATATTTAATAGAGATCCATCCATGGAGCAAAGGAAGGCCTCTCCTACCCAAAGATTCCTTGGAAAAAGCTTAAGATCATCTCACTGGGTTTTAAGTTAAATTATTTGAAGCATTTGACATTTCAACTTGAACTGACTTCTTTCATTTCTTTTACTTCACATTTCTGAAGAAAAGCTTAGCTGTGAAAACCCCTAAAGCTTACAAAATCTTAGAAATATTTTTGACAAACAACAACAGGAAGATGTCTCTAAGCTATTAAACAAAAGGAATTCACAAGTGATTTTGGCTAATTTTGCTGTTAAACATGACTCTTTCCTCCTTCCCGCCCCCCACCTCCACACACACACACACACACACACACACACACACACACACAGTACTGCACACGTTACTCCAAAGCAAACAAAAAAGGGTTTATTAAGATAAGCTTCACACAATGAGAAACCCTGGATTTCATTTTTAAAAATGTTTTAAGGTGGGATCTAAAATTTCACTTTTCCTCATCCAGTTCCAAGCTGCTTCTGAGAACAAAGTTTGTTAGGCAGCAGCAAAATAAATACTCTATCAAAAATGAAAAGTAAAACTTTCGTAATGGAGTGCTTTCTCTTATCATGATTAAATATGAACTTCCCCTGAATGGGACCCAAAGTGGAAACTGTTTTTATCCTTTGCTCCTGAAAAAAAAAAAAATTCAATACTTTATAAACAATGGCGCATATTACAAAGTACCATTTCAATGGATGATTTCACTCAGATTCACTACACCATCCTCTTGAAATAAAAGATCTGTAGTTGTCACGCATTTTATAGCTATTACATGGTGATTATTAAATGTCAGAATGAAAATTCAGGCTGGATATTGTTTCAAAGCATATGGGAACAGCTTCTGGACAGGGCACACCAGAAATCAAGTTTAGAATATACTGAAAATAATTAAGTATCATGGTATAGAAGACTCAACATTGGCAAAGATGGAATTTGGCAACAATGTTACCAAATATGGTTCCTTAGAAGAGACAAGTTTGGAGATGAGTGTTATTTTCAAATAGCGCTATGATCAAATGATTATCATGTCAATTACCAGTTGCTTCAGATCTTTTCCAAGAAATGGCATGACTAGCGCTGGCTGGCTTACAACGCCCGCCAAACAAACAGTTTATTAACCAAGAGAAAATACAATCCTTATGATGTCATTGATGAATAAACCCATCTTTCAAGATTCAGTCTATAGATTTTATTCTCCCTCCTTTTCTCTCTCTCAGAAACAGACTTTATGAATATACACACATATATAAAAACAAATGCAGGAATTCACATAAACACACATAAGCCATAAACTCAAGTTTGGATTAATTGTGAAACCACCAGTATGTTTTACTGTGGATTCACAGAGAAACTGGCCCTGCAACATTGTCAAATGCCAGGATTTAGAAGGAAATCTGATAAGCGGAGGAGGGGGAAGCAGCAGACCAGCCCAAAAAACAAAACAGCTAACATATATATAGAAAATGTCTCAGGAAACATTGCTTTGTACACACAATGGCATAAATCACATGTTCGTATTTACTATTCTGAGCAAGCTTTGACTAAAGTTCTTAATACACGCCGTTCTCGGGCAAGCCTCTATGTCTAAGAAAAGAATTTCAATAAGCTCATCTCATGATTACATTAGCTCTCTGCAAACCGAGAATTAGCACTGGATAAATATTGCTGATTTACTCTAATACAACACAAAAGGAACACAAAGAAATACACTTTGTTATTCTATTAATGTACCTTGGCTTTTCAATTAACCCAGTTCCCGATCAATATTTATGTAGGCTGTGTTGAGATGCTATTGGAGCCCATATCCCCTTTCATCATTGTTTTAAACGGCTTGTTTCTGTAATTTGGATCTTGTGTCTACCACTGTATAAAAAACAGCTTTTTGAATCACGGAATCCTCTATGTCAGAGGAAAGGATCTAGTCATGAATTAGCCTGCCTGTGTATTGCCGGCCCCTGCACATGTTCTAAAAATCGGAAAACTTTGCACAAGGTATCCAGACGTCCATCTTTTCATAAAATGAAATGAAATAGTAAAATAAAATGATATCTCTGCCAAAACAAACAAACAAAAACGTCCCCCCAGACAGTTGGAAGTGGTTGCTTTCTTTAGATAAGATGCGAGATCTCGAGTTGACCACTGACCCCATCACTCCCTGTTGCCTTACCTGCCTGGCCCCCGGACAGCCAATCAACATTTAAACTTGCACACCTTGATTTATTCCACCTCCTTCATTTTATGACATATCCTCATACCAACTTCCAATAGAACTTAGACAAAAACCCAGGTTTCCTATCTGCCCACAGAGTATTCATCCTGGACTCAGGAGCCTTCTGCCTGGGTTTAAATCCCAGGTCTGCAATTTATTCACCATGGAACACTGAGAAACTTCTTTAACCTCCCCGTGCTTCAAGATTTTGTATGTATGTAGAAAAAAAGGATAATAATACTATTTACCTCTTATGGTAATTTTGAGGATTAAATGGGCTAACATAAATGAGTGGTACGTCAGTATTAACTCCTATTTTCATTGTCCTGAGTCCTTGCAGAGATGAGTTTAGATGGCTCACGGGTAAACTTTACATACATATATATATATATATATATATATATATATATATATATATATATATATATGTTACTCATTGCTTATTTATTTTTGTGGTTACTTTTCATTTATGGGAAAGTGGGACTGGTTTTCCATTTACAGGAGATTTAGAATGTTTCCTCGTTAAATAAATTTAAGTTAAAAAAATAGGTCAATTTGAACTAAACCATTAAGTAAACACAGGACATGTGGGTACAGCCAAAAAAAAAAGTCAAGATGCATGAAAATTACTGAAATTTGGGACAGTGTATTGTGTCAGTGGTTCTCAAAGTGTAGTCCAGGAACCCTGGGTAATCCCCCAGATTATTTCAGGCAGTCCATAGAATCAAAACAAAGATCATAATAATACTAAGACATTACTTGCTTTTTGCAGTCTTATTCTCTTTCAAGTGTATAGTGGGGTTTTCCAGAGACTATATGACATACGGTAAGGCAAGAGAGTAAATACAGAAGCAGATATGAGAATCCAGCTGTCTCTATTAAGCTAGACAGTAAAGAGCTTATAAAAATGTAAAACAATGCCACTGTTTTTTTTTGTTTTTGAAAATATGGTTAATTTCCATAAAAATGTGGCAAATATATATAATGGGTTTATATTGCTGTTCTTATTTTTTAAATTAGCTTACAGTAAAATTTCCTGTTTTGATGTATAGTTCTATGACTTTTACCACATGGCAACCAGTGATCTGTTCTCGCTATCTTTTTTCTCTTTTCCAAATGTCGTATAAATTGAATCATACCATCTGAAATCTTTTGAGATTACTTCTTTCACTCAGGATAATTCCTCTGAGATCCATCCATGTTGCTGTATGTATCAATAGCTTGTTCCTTTTCACTGCTGAGTAGTATCTCATGATATGGATGTGTCCCAAAATTATTCATCCATTCGCCCATTGAGGGACACTGGGTTGTTTTCAACTTTGTGAATTACAAATAGAGCTGCTATAACCAGATGGTTTTGTTTGTGTGTGTGTGTGTGTGTGTGTGTGTGTGTGTGTGTGTGTGAACATACATTTTCAATTCTCTAGAACAAATACTTGGGAGAGGAACTGCTGGGTAAGTGTATATCTAATTTTGTAGAAACCATTTTCCAGAGTGGCTTTACCATTTTGCATTCCCACCAGCAATGGATGAGATTTCCAGTTGCTTCTCATCCTTGCCAGCCCTTGATACTGGGTTTGTTAATTAACTTATTATTGCTATCATACTATAAATGCAGTGACTTCTCATCATGTTTTAAATTTTCATTTCCCTAATGACTAATGATGTTGAACATCTTTTCAGGTGTTAATTTTTCATCCGTATATCCTTTTTGGTGAAGTGTGGGTTGAGGTCTTCAGGCTCATTTCTCAAATTGGGCTGTTTATTTTCTGACTATTGAGTTTTGAGAATTCTTGTATGTACTGAATACAGGTCTTTTGTCTGATATGTGTTTTGAAAATATTTTCTCCCATTCTGTAGCTGTCTTCCCATTCTTTTAATTGTGTATTCAACAAAACAAAAGTTTTAAATTTTGGCTAAGTCCAATCGATCAGCTGTTT